ACCCAAAGGAGGGTCACCATGACTTGGGATCAGCTGGATGGCAGTGGTTTTTGTTTGGTTTTTAAAAGGATGTGGGCATGGTTACCTGAGAGTGAATCTACTTTCTGATTAGAAAGAAATCAGAATCTGAATGATGAGCAGCTAATGTTCAGAAGTTTGAGTTCACATGGAGGTGCCTCCAAGGAAAGGCTTGATTGATGGTCTACTTATTAAAAAAATAATAAATAATTGGATGTCCCCTGATAAGTTGTTGAGATGTTATGTTTCGTTACATATATTTTTACCACAATATATACAATATTTTAAAAAGAAATAAAGAAGACTCTCTGAAGCACAGATATACTTGGACATGTGTGGGGTTGGTCTGGTTTCTGGTGATTCTCTGTACAAGTAACCAGATACTAGCCAGAGAATACAGGGACAAGAGCTGTAAGGCCATGTGTCACCATTGACTTTAAAGGGTGAGGAAAGATGCAAAGTATCAGGACTTTGTTTAGGGGCAAAATAAGTATTAATTCCTTCTTTTAAGTAGAAACAAAGAAGAAATGTGATTGAATAACAGTGTGTCAGTCTGAATCAGGGTAGCTTGAGAAGGTTGAGACCTCTAACATTTGGCATTGAGTAACGGTTAGTGTGAGCAGGTAACCCGTCCCAACACGCCCTTTCATCCTAGGTCTCGAAAACCAACACTGGAGCCCTCCTCCTCACTTCAATTTACAAATGGGGAAACTGAGAGCCAGAGCTAGATTATGAATGAGATCAGATAGCCAGAGCTGTCTGTACTCAAATTCCATGTGGTTGCAGTTGTTGTTAGGTGCCATCAAGTGAGTATGACTCATCGCAACCCTATGAAGAACAGAGCTGCACCCTGTCCTGTTATGTGCCATCCTCGTATCTCTGACACTCTCAAACCCATTGCTGCAGTTGCTGTGTCAGTCCACCTGGTTGAGGATCTTCTTCTCCTTCACCATCCCTCCACCTTTCTAAGCATGTTGTCCTTCCTCCTCCAAATATTAGCCTCTCCTAGCAACATGGAATTTGGCAAACCAAAAAGTTTGATATTTTCTTGTATGTCAAATTCCATGTGTTGTTGTTGTTTTGTGCTGTCGAGTCGTTTGC